AGGAGATGCTAGCAGATTTTTAATGGTGGAAGATACGTAGCAGGCCGGCCCAATACACTTACAACAACATTGGAGAGTTAATTTCGTGTCGTTTTTCTATCGCTTACTCACTTAACTTACTTGCTACACTGTTAATTCTACACTTTATCGCTGGTTGGCACTATAGCCTTTATCGATACCTGCTGCTTTAGTATCGTACATATCGTAGAATCACTGAATCACTGCAAAAGGCACATTCACCCCTCTCTCTTCCTCCTCCACTTTGGTATTTTTGCTACAAGTTTTTTCTTGAATTTTATTGTGTTTCTTTCCTTTTTTATCACAGGGTTGGCACTAGAAACTTTCTTTGGGCCCATGGTGGCTTATTTAGCAGTTACAAGCACTAAGAAAATGGAATAATACAAAATATATCGCATGTATGCATGGAATCATCCTCCCTGGCTTGTAAACAATGGCACTCTACCTTGTACATAGGCTCAGGCCACGCAGACATGTTCAGGACGTATGTCCTTAAATGAGTTTTTCTTTGTTGGCCTAGCCAACATTTTTACGCAAAAACACATCGGTATCCGATTTTATCACCATCTGATGGTATCGTTACCCGAGGGTCCACTGTACTATACAAATTTTCATGTTTAAAAACAAACTCACATATCTTATTTATATTCATTTTTTTTTTTGATGGTTTTCTTCTTCATATTTTTAGTAAGCTGTACGGGAAAAGCGGTTACTAGTCCATTGCTCCCAATTTTAGTTAACTTTTACAACACGCATGGCTTACGGAGGAGGGAGGGGGTAAAGGTGGCTTTGTGGACAAGGGACTTGGACTTCCAGCAAGCATGCGTGAGCGTGTTAGATAGGAGTGAAGTGAGATAAGTGGTTTTTGGGACCTCACAAACTGTTGAGTCTGAGCAGGGTAATACAGTATTCTGTGAAGGGATTCAGGGAAACCAATTAGCCAGACGTAAAGTCCTGGAGGTGGGAAGTACAATGCCTGCACTTTAAAGGAGGGGTTTGGGAAATTGGCCATTTGGAGGGACATTTAAACTGTCGTATCCGAGCGCCTACGCAAGATAGTGATTAGGTATGAATGATGGTTAAAGTGCTGAACGATGATAAAAGTTTCTTTCTTTCTTTTTGAGTCACCCTGCCTCGGTGAGAAACAGCCAATGTTTTAAAAAAAAAATTTTTAATCATAGCTGATAATAGGAAAAATTCTACAAGTATGTGAGTGCATTAGATAAGAGTGAAGGCAAATCAATTTTATGATTTGGCATGCTGCTGGAGTGTGAACAAAGTAACATTTATGAAGGGATTCAGGGAATCTGGTTAGGTAGCCTTGAATCCTGGAGGTAGAAAGTATGGTGCCTGCATTCTGAAGGAGGGATGGGGATGTTGAAGTTCAGAGAGTCATATGAGCTGTGATACTAACAGTGATCTTTCAACTTCTTTCAACTAACCGGCTGTATCCCACCAAAGCAGGGTGGCCCAAAAAGAAAAAACAAGTTTCACTTTTTAACTTTAGTAACGTATTACAGGAGAAGGGTTACTAATCCCTTGCTCCCGGCATTTTAGTCATCTCTTATGACACTCATGGCTTATGGAGGAAGAATTCTGTTCCAATTTCCCATGGAGATAAGAGGAAATAAACAAGAACAAGAACTACTAAGAAAATAGAAAAAAACTCTGAGGGGTGTGTGTGTATATATATGCTTATACATGCATGTGTAGTGTAACCTAAGTGTAAGTAGAAGTAGCAAGACATAGCTGAAATCTTGCATGTTTATGAGACAGAAATAAGACACCAGCAATCCTACCATCATGTAAAACAATTACAGGCTTCCGTTTTACACTTACTTGGCAGGATGATAGTACCTACCTGACTGGTTCCTGTCTACCAACCTAGGACTAACAGTGATATTAAGCCCAATTAGTATGTTATGTAGATTTAACCTTTAACCTGTAATTTTTTTTTTAAATTTTCCTGCACATAGGAAATTTTATTTCTGGGCTTACTATAGTGTAAAGGTTAAAGTAGGTATGACATACTAGAACCCCTTTGTCCAAATTAATTTCTGCAACAGTCATTTGAAGCACACACACTGCAAACATCCTTGTTAATTTATGATGGACACTAGGTACGGTATTCTACCCATTTTCACATCAAAAGTGAAAGGTGTACAGATTTTAGCATATTCTGGTGCTTCTTGGTTTGTGTGTTGCTAGAGGTGTTGCAGTCATTTTTATATTTGCTTACTGGTGTTGGTCATATATTTTTTTTTTTTTATTTATTATCACACCGGCCGATTCCCACCAAGGCAGGGTGGCCCGAAAAAGAAAAACTTTCACCATCATTCACTCCATCACTGTCTTGCCAGAAGGGTGCTTTACACTACAGTTTTTAAACTGCAACATTAACACCCCTCCTTCAGAGTGCAGGCACTGTACTTCCCATCTCCAGGACTCAAGTCCGGCCTGCCGGTTTCCCTGAATCCCTTCATAAATGTTACTTTGCTCACACTCCAACAGCACGTCAAGTATTAAAAACCATTTGTCTCCATTCACTCCTATCAAACACGCTCACGCATGCCTGCTTGAAGTCCAAGCCCCTCGCACACAAAACCTCCTTTACCCCCCTCCCTCCAACCCTTCCTAGGCCGACCCCTACCCCGCCTTCCTTCCACTACAGACTGATACACTCTTGAAGTCATTCTGTTTCGCTCCATTCTCTCTACATGTCCGAACCACCTCAACAACCCTTCCTCAGCCCTCTGGACAACAGTTTTGGTAATCCCGCACCTCCTCCTAACTTCCAAACTACGAATTCTCTGCATTATATTCACACCACAACATTGCCCTCAGACATGACATCTCCACTGCCTCCAGCCTTCTCCTCGCTGCAACATTCATCACCCACGCTTCACACCCATATAAGAGCGTTGGTAAAACTATACTCTCATACATTCCCCTCTTTGCCTCCAAGGACAAAGTTCTTTGTCTCCACAGACTCCTAAGTGCACCACTCACTCTTTTTCCCTCATCAATTCTATGATTCACCTCATCTTTCATAGACCCATCCGCTGACACGTCCACTCCCAAATATCTGAATACGTTTCACCTCCTCCATACTCTCTCCCTCCAATCTGATATTCAATCTTTCATCACCTAATCTTTTTGTTATCCTCATAACCTTACTCTTTCCTGTATTCACCTTTAATTTTCTTCTTTTGCACACCCTACCAAATTCATCCACCAATCTCTGCAACTTCTCTTCAGAATCTCCAACAGCACAGTGTCATCAGCAAAGAGCAGCTGTGACAACTCCCACTTTGTGTGTGATTCTTTATCTTTTAACTCCACGCCTCTTGCCAAGACCCTCGCATTTACTTCTCTTACAACCCCACTATAAATATATTAAACAACCACGGTGACATCACACATCCTTGTCTAAGGCCTACTTTTACTGGGAAAAAATTTCCCTCTTTCCTACATACTCTAACTTGAGCCTCACTATCCTCGTAAAAACTCTTCACTGCTTTCAGTAACCTACCTCCTACACCATACACTTGCAACATCTGCCACATTGCCCCCCTATCCACCCTGTCATACGCCTTTTCCAAATCCATAAATGCCACAAAGACCTCTTTAGCCTTATCTAAATACTGTTCACTTATATGTTTCACTGTAAACACCTGGTCCACACACCCCCTACCTTTCCTAAAGCCTCCTTGTTCATCTGCTATCCTATTCTCCCGTCTTACTCTTAATTCTTTCAATTATAACTCTACCATACACTTTACCAGGTACACTCAACAGACTTATCCCCCTATAATTTTTGCACTCTCTTTTATCCCCTTTGCCTTTATACAAAGGAACTATGCATGCTCTCTGCCAATCCCTAGGTACCTTACCCTCTTCCATACATTTATTAAATAATTGCACCAACCACTCCAAAACTATATCCCCACCTGCTTTTAACATTTCTATCTTTATCCCATCAATCCCGGCTGCCTTACCCCTTTCATTTTACCTACTGCCTCACGAACTTCCCCCACACTCACAACTGGCTCTTCCTCACTCCTACAAGATGTTATTCCTCCTTGCCCTATACATGAAATCACAGCTTCCCTATCTTCATCAACATTTAACAATTCCTCAAAATATTCCTTCCATCTTCCCAATACCTCTAACTCTCCATTTAATAACTCTCCTCTCCTATTTTTAACTGACAAATCCATTTGTTCTCTAGGCTTTCTTAACTTGTTAATCTCACTCCAAAACTTTTTCTTATTTTCAACAAAATTTGTTGATAACATCTCACCCACTCTCTCATTTGCTCTCTTTTTACATTGCTTCACCACTCTCTTAACTTCTCTCTTTTTCTCCATATACTCTTCCCTCCTTGCATCACTTCTACTTTGTAAAAACTTCTCATATGCTAACTTTTTCTCCCTTACTACTCTCTTTACATCATCATTCCACCAATCGCTCCTCTTCCCTCCTGCACCCACTTTTTGTAGGGTTATATAACTTATCTAACTTGAAGAAAATCTCATAAGAAAATTAATGTAACATTAGGATAAACTGAGGCAATTAGTCCTTTATTTCTGTATACAGAATTATGGATTTGGCTTCCTAATACATTTTCAGTTTTCTATACACTAATCTTTGATCATTATATTATAAAGGGAAGTGAAAGTCACTAGACAAATATTAAGAGTATCTGCCATATCTTCATAACACAAAACAGGAATGCTAGGAATGAAATTTAATTTGTAAGCTGTGCAAAAATTAGCTTCTACAATTATAGTACAGTACAGTACAGTACATCATTTACATTTCATCAACATAATCTAAACAATGAAATAAAGCACAATATTATCAAAGAATATTGAATGATAAAAAATTTATAAAAACTTTTATACAAGAAATTATCTATTTCCCATGATGTGGAATAAGATATTAGAAATGGTATTGCACAGAAAGATGCATAAACTTACAGAGAGACTGATGAGAGGCAATCGTATCTTAGCGAGAATCTCTTGTGTTTGCTCCTGAGTCAGATCTGAGTTCCGCTCAACCCATGTGTGAACACCTTGGAATATATGGACTTCTGGTGCACAAAATGAATCCCTCCCAATAATTGCCTTCAATGCCGACTGTAAAAAAAACAAGAAAAATCATAAAAATACATAATAGATAATTTATAACACCTAAAAGTACTTACTGTCTGATATACACTCCACCCCTTACCATGACCATCTCTCTCTCTTGCCCTCCCTCTCCCTCTCTCTCTCTCCCCCCTTTCATTATTTCTTTTTTACACAGGGCTTGACAAGGTTAGGTTAAGGATCCCTAGCTTTATTGACAAGCTATTTACAGGTTAAGGATTCCTAAACTTATTGACAAGCTAAGAGCTGTTACCTACATCAGCTCATTTGAAAGCATTTTTATTGCTATGAAACATACATTAGGGAACAGGATGAAGTTGGAGCCATCTGTGGGCCAGCATTTTCATTTGATCAACTGACTATCTCGTTGACATCATAATGCTGTACGAACGTGTTCCATACTAGTCATCCTGGGGATAAATGATCTCAGATGAAGTGATGTTCTGGAGAAGGGTACAGCCAGAGTGAAGTTGCTGCTTTCTGCCCATCTTGTGGTATAGAAGCTTGCTTCATGCTGTCCTCGAAGTGGATCTATCTCTCTATCTCTCTCTCTCACACACACACACACACAACTGATGAGTGCTGGTTTTATTAGGTCATGAATTAATTTTCAAGTACATACATACCAATATAAAATTACAGTGGACATTTTATAACTTTATCAGTTAACTGCCATTTTGCTATATTTAATTTTATAAATTTTAATTTTCTACAACAATTTCTAAGATAAGATATAATGCATACTATACCACAAAAAAAGGCTGCAACTTATGAATGCAGGGAAACAGTACACATCCCATGAACCCTACAAGTTTAGCACCTCTGCACGAATACAGTATACTGTATATACAGTATTAATAATAATGTCCCAAACAATCCTACTTAATATGGAAATTTCTATTAGCAGTATTAAAAAATGAAAAATATTTTACTTAGGACTCCCACTTACCTTAATGCTTGCCTAAAAATCACTCGCTACTAGTACACTAACTGGAACTCTGAAGATATTTTTTCCCATAGACATCCATAGTATAATCAACGATGTGTTCCCAAGCCATAATACCCTGTATCTTGTTTCACCTATTGTTTAAACAATGAAATTTAAAATGATGTATAGTATTCAGGTAAGTCTCTCTCTTCCTTTCCTCTTTCTCCCATTCCCTCCAATTCCCTTACCTTTCTCCTTCTCTTGCATTCCCTCCCTCCCTCCCTCCTATTCCTACTCTCCCATCATATCCAACACAACACACTTTACATAACTCTCCACCCTTTCACTCTTGTGGTGAGGGTATTAGGTGCCTAGGCATATGGTATGAGAAGAAATGATGAAGGCTATTATGTATGACTGGAGGGTGGTGGGACATCATAAGCAAAGCTTGAGTAGATAGTGGAGAAATAGTCACCTGTCCGTATTGCAATCTAACCCCAACAGCACCAGCCAGGACAAGGGGGCCTTCCCATCAGGCTCCCTGGTAACCCCCACAGCCACCTGGCATACCAATAGTGTCCCTGTCCTCCCCCACCTGTTAACCACTGACAGGAACTGAGCATGGCAGCAGCCAACCAAGAGAATAAATTAATTTCTTTACCAACTGCTGCTAAAATATGAGATTTAAAACTTAAAAAAAAAAAAAAACTCTCCACACATATATAAACTATCAATACAAATAAAAAAAGTGAAAAAAATGTAAGCTATAATTCATATTTAAAATCTTAACTATTAAATATACAGTTCTTGACTACTCTAAACTAAATATGAGCCCTTCACACATGCATAAAATGAATATAATTTATACAAAATTCACATTTGGTGTTAAATAACCGAAAAACTATTAAAAATAATTTCCATTTTAATACATGTAATTAATAAAAATTACGAAAACATGTGGGGGAGGGGGTATTCATAAGAGAGAAGTAAAGTGACCATGCAGCACCACTTGATTTTTTCCACATTCCCTCAAACCTGCATTTTTTGCTTAACCCATCCTGATTTATTTTTGTAACTGAAGAAAAAGAAATATTATTGGATAAAAGAAGTTGCCAGATGTAGGATATACAGTACTCACTGGTGTAAGGGAGTAAAATGATTCATGATTCAGTATTGGTAAGGCATTTTTATCCATAAAATCTTCACACACTGTCTTCAGGTTTGTAAGGTTGTAAAGAGATGCCATATCATATATAACACAAATATTTGCAATACATAAAGCATCCTTTAAGTATTCACAGACTGCAGATTCTAAATCTTCGAAGCCATACTGGTGAGCAAGCCCAAGGATTTCTAATACAGTCTCTTCCTGAAAAATGCCAATATGTTATATTAGTCCATTTTGTAAACAATAATTACCATTTATATACAGCAGTATCAAGTGCTTAAGGATCAGATAAATTATAAGAATGCTGACCATTTCAAATACAGTATAGCACTGAATTTGAAAACAATAGTAAACCTATATTCAAGGATTTAGAAAAGGCATATGATAGGGTGGATAGGGGAGCAATGTGGCAGATGCTGCAAGTGTATGGAATAGATGGCAGGTTGATGAAAGAAGTTAAAAGAGTTTTTGGGACTAGTGAGGCTCAGGTTAGGGGTTAGGGTATGTAGAAGAGAGGGCAATTATTTTCAATAAAAGTGGGCCTTAGACAGGGATGCACGATGTTACAATGGTTGTTTAACATATTTTTAGATGGGGTTGTAAAAGAAGTGAATGCTAGGGTGTTGGGGAGAGATGAGAGATTAAAACAGCAGAAAATTATACAAAATGGGAACTGTCACAGTTGCTTTACACTGATGACACTGCTATTGGGAGATTCTGAAGCTAAGTTGCAAAGGTTGGTTGATAAATTTGGGAGTATGCAAAAGGAGGAAATTAAAAGTGAACATAGAAGAGCAAGGTGATGAGGGTAACAAACAATATAGGTAATGAAATATCATTTGTCAGAATGGAGGAAGGGAGAATTGAGGAAGTGAATGTGTACAGATATTTAGGAGTGGATTTGTTAACAGATCAGTATGTGAAAAGTGAACCAGGGGCATCATAAGGGGGGGCGGGCAACACCATTTAGGGGGTGACACCATAGAGCCTCTAAAGAAGGTGACACTAATGCACACAACAGTGCTGCACCAACATAAGAAGAGAATCCTTCATTTCTATATAGCCTATTATATGATTACAGAGTACAAATAGGCCTATATAGGGAAAATCATTGATTTTCATGATGTGATAGATGATTTTGCAGGATTGAAGGCAAGGAAATGTAAGATCAGATTCATTGAGATGTTACCTGTACTCAAGGTCACATCGGAACTAGTGTTTCTCTGATATTGCAATGTTTTTCTTTATTTTTCAAGTTTGTTTTTTTTTTTTTGGCATTGTTGAAGACGAATAAATGTAGGATCTGTTGCCTGTACTCACAGTGGATTTGAGTTGATGTTTTCTCAATATTACTACGATTATTTATTTTATCATTAATAAAGTTGAGAAGTATTCTCAGGTTTGGTTTATGGCCCTTAAACATTCTCATTGCTAAACATTAGTCACTGGTCATGCAGTAGTGATTTAACTGGTTGTGCAGTAGTGACGTAACTGGTCATGCAATAGTGACGTAACTGGTCGTGCAGTAGTGACAAAACTGAAGTTTACTCCCCCCATCCCCCTGCCCTTGGATTTCATGGGGGTGACACCAAAGATGCCGCCCCAGGTGACACCAACCCTAGCGACACCTCTAAAGGGAACCACAGAAATGGCAAGGGATAAAGGTGGGTGGTGCACTGAGGCATGTGTAGAGACAAAGAATGTTACCTATGGAGGCAAAAAGGGAATGTATGAGAGTATAGTGGTACTAACACTGTTACATGGGTGTGAAGCACGGGTTGAGAATGTTGTACCAGGAAGGAGGCTAGAGGAAGTAGAGATGTTGTGTTTGAGGGCAATGTGTGGTGTAAATATTAATCAGATAGCATAATATTTACACCACACATAGCTTGGAAATACAATGCCTGCACTTTAAAGGAGGAGTTTGGGATATTGGCAGTTTGGGGGGATATGTTGTGTATCTTTATATGTATATGCTTCTAAACTGTTGTGTTCTGGGCACCTCTGCAAAAACAGTGATTATGTATGAGTGAGGTGAAAGTGTTGAATGATGATGAAAGTATTTTCTTTCTGGGGATTTTCTTTCTTTTTGGGTCACCCTGCCTCGGTGGGAGATGGCCAACTTGTTAAAAAAAAAAAAAAAAATTAGCTTGGATATTAGAAGGTACAGGGTTACAAAAAGTACTATCCAGAGGGCTGAGGAGTGGTTGTTGAGGAGGTTTGGACATTCAGAGAGGATTTAACAAAATGAGATGACTTGTAGGATGTATAAATCTGCAATGGAGGGAAGGCAGGGTAGGGGTTGCCCTAGGAAAGTTTGGAAGGAGAGGGTACAGGAGGTTGTGTGTGAGGGGCTTGGGCAACCAGCAGGCAAGTGTATGTTAAACAGAAGTAGAGGCAAATGTTTTTTGGGACTTGATGATCTGTTGGTGTGTGAGCAAAGTAACATTCTGTGAAGGGATTCAGAGAAACCAGTTAGCCAGACTTGGGTCCTGAAGGTGGGAAACATAGTGCCTACACTCTGAGAGGGGTGGGGGATATCTGCAGTTTGGAGGGACATCTAAACTATAGTACTGTCATGCCTCTGGCAAGACTGTGACAGCATGAATGTCAGCGAGTGTTTTTTCTTTTGGGTTACCCTACCTCAGTAGATGGCCAGTTTGTTAAAAAAAAGTAAACTCTCTAAAAGCTATTTTTATTATTTAATCATGGAGGGAGCACTAAACTTACATGGGTCATACAGTACCTGAGGATTGGAAGGCAATCAGATTTGATCCAAGAACAGGGAGAGCAGCTCCAATTTCCTGGATCAAGAGCCTTACACTGACATGAAAGCACCTACTCTGAAGGGTTTTAAAAAGTTATTTATTATACGAAACAAAAGATTCTGATACATACAGTATATACCATACAAGTTAACTGATATACAATTCCAAATTCATCTGAACAAGATAAACTATTAGGTAAAGAGGAGGCATGAAACACTACACAACTAACCTTTTCAGAACTGAGACTGACCCATCCAGTATATATATATTTCAAAAGAACGTTGAAAGCTGTTAAATTGGTATCTTTTATTTCTACCTCAGCTTGACGAGATTCACGCAACCCACCAAAAAGAAGCGCTCTGAAATATAAACACTGTAGATGATCACTTTTAATCATACTTGAACAATGTCTCATATTATTTAATTCAGGAAACTGCAACATTCTGCTTGAAGTAAAACATAAATCACTATAATGTATACTGTAGTAATAAACTTCAAATCAATATTGGCCTATTAATTAAGGCTAAACATAATAAAGCACACACCATTAAAAAACAAGTCACTGAAGTAAATAGTGAAATTTACTTTCAAAATAAAAATCTACAAGAAACCATAATAAAAATTTTGAAAATACAAACCTGAAATACTGACTTCTTGCAGCTAATATGACTTTGTGTGCACGAAAAGTTTGTCCATTGACTTGCAGAGTGACATCACTATATTCATCATTAAGATAAAGAGCACCAATGTCATGTGCCAGGTTGCTGGAGTGATCTACAACTCCACCAGGGTAGGGAAGACCCAGGTGGATGTTAGACATTGTTCTCTCACCCTAGAATGATGATCAAGGTTAGGGACTTGTTTATTACCTTGTGTGCTTTTAAGAGGTCCTCTTCATTTCTGAAATTTTAAGAAACTTATTAGCTCAGCTAATTAAGTTAACAAACATAAGAATAATGTTGGTCTGGATAAAATTTTATTACATTATATAGTACTGTAATCAAAACATATCACTGAGCATATACAACAGTTGCATTTATGAGTTTTAAAGTAGCAGTTTACTTCCAGTAGATTTTACTGAACTACATGCAGTAATACATGTACTTATTTTAGCATGCAAGATATGCTTTAGACAATGTAAAATGATGGTTACTGCTCTTGTGAGAAAACTATGTATTCCTTTTTTTAACATACAGGCCATCTCCCTCTAAGGTAGGGTGACCCCCCTCCCCCCCTAAAAAAAAAAAAATTCACTCTCATTCATTCAATTACTGTCTTTTGAGAATCATGATGATATCACAGTTATGATGACCATCCAAGCTGCAACATCCTCACCCCTCCCTCAAAGTGTAGGCACTGTACTTCCCACCTCTTTTTCTGAGGAGAATTTAAGTTTAGAGGTAAAGCTCTATTACCTACATTTTTTATTTTTTTTACTAAACTGGCCATCTCCCACAAAGGTAGAGTGACCAAAGAAAAAAAAAGGAAACATTCACTATCAATCATTCAATATTTGTCTTCTGAGTACAGACACTGTAATTTCCACCTCCAGAACTCAAGTCCTGCTAACCACTTTTCCCTACATGCCTTCATAATGTTACCTTGCTCGAACTCCAACAGCATGTCAAATTCCTAAAATCAGAGGGCTGATCCAATACACTGCTCATATATGCCTGTTGAATGCTCAAGTTCCTACCACTTAATATCTCCATCTATTTTCCTAGTTTTCTGTTATATCTATTGACCTACTTTTTTGGAGTATCACTCTATGATATCTTTTGTTAAATCCCTTAGTAAAATTTATGACGACCACGTCCAAATTTTTTATATTTTTTGCAAAGACTATGGAACTTGACATAATGGGTTAGTAAGCATGAGCTTTCCACTCTAAATACACATTGATTTCAGCTGTGTAGGTTGAGCTATTCCATAAATTTTGTATTTTGGTATCTCGCCACCCTTTCAATGACTTATGATGTCAGTGCTACCTAGCAGTAAGTAGATACCAAGTCAGTTGACTGCTGTTGGTGGTATCCTTAGACAACAATGGAAATAAGCCACACTAATCATTTGGGGTAATCCAAATCATGTCTTCTTTTGGTCATTAATGACTATCACAGCTTACTTCCAAGGGAATGGTCAGAGACGAGTACAAGAAATCAGGATACAGTATTTCTAGAAAATTTATAACTGAAGCAGGTTCGAGTATCAAGAGATACTGTCAACTATATGTTAAAACAACTGAGCAATTATTATTATTATAATCAAAAAGAAGCGCTAAGCCACAAGGACTATACAGCAACAACTGAGCAAGAATTCATTTAGTTTCTGTAACAAAGTTTGAAAACTCATTACATTAGACCCTGATAAATAAGGTTTCCCATATCTTTTTATCTTCCTATTAATTCATTAATTCTGAGTAACATAAATTTGTGTCATCTGATTTCATTTTTGGGGGGGAGGCTGAGGGGACCACTAAACCCATAGGGGTCATACAGCCAGCACCTGAGGAAATAGAAGGTATCCAGGCTTGATTCAAAGAATTGAAGCACAAGCCCAATTCCTTAGCTCAAGGGTCCCCCTCACCAATATCAAGGAGCTTCCCTTGAGGGATGCTGATGGATAAAAGCATATTTTAGTGGTTTTTGACATTTTGTTACTATATTAAACAAAGTGTACCTGTTAATGCAGTGATAGCCACTGCATGACAAACTTCAGATCTAATTTTATTCAGAATATTTTTTTGGGTTAGGTCTGATCAATTTTCTCCATTACATAGGATTGGACAATCTCAGTCCAGGTGCGATCTCAGACCACAGCATCAGATTCGAATAATATAAAATAAATGTCTATTTATGGTTTATATATATTATAGTACACTTCAAATTCCCAATTATGAAGTCAACTGGCACTTTTTATTTTACATAAACAGTGAGTTGAGTAAATAATCTTATGCAAAATTACAGAAAAAATCGAAGCTGAGAATTAATTATAACTTACTAATGCAACTTACAAAAGTAATGCAATTTTGTCTTACAAGGCACGTAATTAAGTTTCTGTATTGGGAGCAGCATGATTACTATAATTTTCACAAGGAAATGCGAAACTCGCAATATTATCAAGAAAAGCGTTAAACCATACCAAGCGTTAAACCCCAAAGGGTCATGCAGTGCTGCTAAACTCGTCATATTGGCTCTTGGGAACGTCAGGCAATCAAGTTTGATCCGCGGAATGAAAAAGTAACGTCGATTTCTTGGATCAAGAGCCATTCACCAGCGTCACATTACCCCCTTGCAGGGACAAACAGGGAATACTTCAGGCTATTACTTTCCCGAACCTATAGAGATCATACAACGCAATACCCATAAATAAATTGTTGTCTTCCCCCCACGTCGAGCAACATGACTTGTTAATGTTGACATTATAACAACATACTACACACAACATATCTACTATGCTGTCCTATGTTTGTCTAGTCTACCCTGCTGGCTTAACATTCCTTATCACAAACATCTTCATAGCACGCTCCTTCCCAGATAGAAATGATACTAATAGCCCTAAAGCTTGAGTATAACAATGTGCATCACCACATGGTAATGCAATGTGTGCCCAAATCTTGGGAATTACCTGCGTAGCTTCTAGAATGTACTACAACCTGCGTCACTAGTGTCAACACACGACAGCCATCATACTGCACTGCTAGACTACACTCTACATTATATACATTTATCATAAAAGAAAAAAAAACAAATTTTAATTCAATATGTGCATAACTGTTACGAAGTTATGCTACATTTACTTCATACATTTTGAAAAGCTCCAGGTTATACAGTACATTTCGGACAGACAATACTAAACCTTCAACTACTGACATTGACTAGTTATATAGTATGAATGCTAAGGTTATTATAAGTAAGTTGTCTAAATATAAGAGTATTGAATGTAATGATTATTTTTATTAACAAAAATTTATATATTAAAACAGTAATGTTAATTTACAGAGAGTTTTTATATTTTGGAAAGCGAGGAAAAATCATAAATTCAGACAAAACTCACCTACGTTCAAGAAATGTCTAAATATTTTATTCCCAGTGGTATATTATCAGCCATTCTGGAAAAATTCCTTAACTTTCCCAATTTTAAATAACTCGTAACCACTTAAACCTGTCCAGTGTCAATCATACCCTGCTAAAATATTTGGTATTATAAATAACATACCAACATGCAAGTTAATTAAATGTTTTCATGTCTGTATAAACAATCAATACGAGTGTTACCAGTTCATAAACTTGTAATATCAGAGAAACTTGCTTAGCTATCAAAAATGATAGAGCCCAATCTTCTGCCTCTGTCATCTTTTGACTACCGCCCAGAGGATGGGTATGGATGCGTAATAGAGATGTTTCAAATTCAAAGTTTATTCTCTATAAAGATTACAATGTTGAATTTACAGAATTTGGTTGTTGTGTGGTTTACATGTAGTTAAATAATGATTACAGAGTGTACCACTAGAACGCCTAGCATGGCTAGGCATTTCGGGCAGATTTAGTTTAATTCTTTATTTTAAAATATTACAAATTATGAGGTAAGTTGGTATTATGGCTAAGTGACTAAATACTAGTTTGTGAGGTAAGACACATATGCAACAGTTAGGTATCTTTATTATGAAACGTTTCGCCTACACAGTAGGCTTCTTCAGTCAAGTACAGAAAAGTTGATAGAAGCAGAAGATACTTGAAGACGATGTAATCAGTCCATCACCCTTAAAGTTTTGAGGTGGTCAGTCCCTCAGTCTGGAGAAGAGCATTGTTCCATAGTATGAAACATATTGTTTCATACTATGGAACAATGCTCTTCTCCAGACTGAGGGACTGACCACCTCAAAACTTTAAGGGTGATGGACTGATTACATCGTCTTCAAGTATCTTCTGCTTCTATCAACTTTTCTGTACTTGACTGAAGAAGCCTACTGTGTAGGCGAAACGTTTCATAATAAAGATACCTAACTGTTGCATATGTGTCTTACCTAACAACCTGTCGGTATTTTATACCATTTTAATGTTCAACTAGTTTGTGAGTTTAGCAATGTGAATGCTTTTGTTTTGGCACAGTACATAGTTTCAGTATTGGAGTATCATAGGATTCATTATTTTAAGATTGAGATTAATATTTCTGTTTATGGTCAAATGGGTGAGTGAGTGTAAGTATGAACCACCAGGTGGTATTCGTGTAGTTAGTTGATGGGGTTTATCAGGGAGATAAGATGTTTTCTAATGGTAGTTTTGAAGGTGATGAATGTGTCTGCAGTTCTAGAGTTCTCAGGTAGGGTGTTCCAGATTTTAGGGCCTTTGACATACATTGAATTTTTGTGAAGGTTTAGTCGGACACGGGGAATGTCGTAGAGATGTTTGTGTCTGGTGTTATGCCTGTGGGTTCTGTCACAACTATCAAGAAAGCGTTTTAGGTCAAGGTTGATATTGGAGTTTAAGGTCCTGTAGATGTAGATTGCACAGTAGTAAGTGTGGATGTACTGAACAGGGAGTAAGTTTAGGTCTATGAAGAGTGGGGGGGGGGTGTTGCCAGGGATACATAAGGAAATTTACGTGACGCCGCTGAGGAACTCCTAATCTTGGCAAAGTATTGGATTATGAAGAAAGGATGGGAGTAGTTGGTAGTGCGTCATAGAACCTAGTGAAAGTTACACAATAGTATATTAGGATCCTGTTGTTTTGCGCTGCGCCTCACAGGATAATCATGGGATGCACAATATACTAGCCACTCAAACGGTAAAACGAAAAGGATCTTAGGGAATGAAGACGTGATGGTGGAGTTTGCAGGTTGGTAGGAGTTGCACAAAAATCGGGGAAGTGATGACGCTTTGGTTATGCCGCCTAAAGAAAAACATTGGTCATAACTCGGTTGCAATGTCCTCTATAAAAACTATTCATTTATCTAGTAGATGCAAATTGTGGATACAACCTCAAGGTTTCAGATATTTTATCATTAATAATGAGGTTTTAGTTTTTTAGTTGTGCCGCCTGAGAGGCTAGTTTATTGTGCCCCCAGTGCTCACCCTGTGAGCGGTAACGTAATAAAAAGAAGATTGCTAGTTTATTGTGCCCCCAGTGCTCACCCTGTGAGCGGCAACCTAATAAAAAAAGATTACAAAGGTTACACTGGGTCTTTGTCAATACCCAATGAGCACTGAGCACTGTTACATCAGTAGAAAGAAATAGTCGATGAAGAAGTTTCTTGGCGAGTGGTTCAGCTATGTTATAGAAGCCATTGTTCTGGTTGAAATTGTTGGTTATAGAGATAAACGATGATTCCAGGATTCTTCTGTATTGAATCATCGTTTATCTCTATAACCAACAATTTCAACCAGAACAATGGCTTCTATAACATAGCTGAACCACTCGCCAAGAAACTTCTTCATCGCTATCCCACATAAGAACATAGAACACTGCAGAAGGTCTACTCACAACTTGTCCAATACCCCTGCCTAGCTACCCAAGACTCTTTAACCCCACCCGGTAGATCATCAGATGCAGCATTCTCCACCTGACCTCAACATTCTGAACATGACTATAAATACTCCCGTACCTTCCAACCCCAGGTAGATCCGTGTGTGTTAGGTAAGACACATATGCAACTTCCACTAGTGAGAGGGGCTGGATTTGAGAGGGACCTGACATCTGAGTTCTTACCTCTCCTAGTGGCCTACGTCTCACCTCTTGGCGCTATAAAAAGCTCCATCCTGTCACTTCTTCTCCATATTGTTTCATACTATGGAACAATGCTCTTCTCCAGACTGAGGGACTGACCACCTCAAAACTTTAAGGGTGATGGACTGATTACATCATCTTCAAGTATCTTCTGCTTCTAAACAACTTTTTTGTACTTGACTGAAGAAGCCTACTGTGTAGCGAAACGTTTCATAATAAAGATACCTAACTGTTGCATATGTGTCTTACCTAACAACCTGTCGGTATTTTATACCATTTTAATGTTCAATCTGTCAGACACTGCAACACAAGGGTATCTTGGTACAGACCCTGCAATCAACTTCGACAACTTCCACTAGTGAAGGGGCGGATATGAGAGGGACCTGACATCAAGTTTTTTTCCCCTCTCCTAGTGGCCTACGCTAAACCTCTTGGGGGGTTTATAAAAAGCCCCAATCCTGTAAACTTTCTTCTCACAAGAGAGTTTTAAAAAGCACACTAAAGGGAAGACCGTTTTTACGACAATCCTTGGAAAACACTCTCAGTTCCCCGGGATTTTTCACAAACCTTTTCAAAGATGGGGCACATGGCTTTTTTTGCCGAAAAGAAGGGGCCCAACGATCCCTCCATGAACCCCCGACGGGGGAACTAAAATTTTGGAAATGGGGGGGGCAAAATTCTGGGCGAAGAAGTTGCGAGGGGGAAAAAGGAAGATCCTGTTCACATTGTAGCGTTTCCTGACAGTCCCAACCTTTGGAGCCGCGAAAATTTAGAAAAAAGGGGGGGCGTGAAAAAAACACCGCCCCCCCACGAAAACCAAGAGGGATGGAACATTGAAACAAGAAGAAGAAGCACCGGGCCTTTCCCCAAAGGGACCCGGAAACCGCTCAACCGACCCTGGCAAATTAAAGGTAAATTCTTATGGGACCACAGAACCCACTAGGGGTTTTTTCCCTCCCCGGGAAATTTCACGACAAAAACCTGAAGTTCAAGATAGGTTAAATTTTGAGGGGAGAACCAATTTTTGACCCCTTTCTCAACAAGGAAATGTATACCACCTTGAAGAGAGTAAAGGAGCCAGACGCTCATTAAAACCCTGGAGGAACGGGCCCTCTGGGGCAGAAGACCCACCAAGGGTGTAGTAAGTGGGGGGGGAAACCCCTGATGAGGGCCCATCGGGGCATTTCAGCTCACCCCAGTGTGGTGCCCACAAAAACGCTAAAAGGCAAAGAGGGCGGGAAAACGCACCGACCCGACAGGTTCTCATTCGCATGTAGGACCACGGGGCCATCCCCAGCTGGACCTCGGTTTTTTGGGGGGGAAAGGGGGGGGGGGGACGATGCAGGACCTTCAAAAGAAAGAACCATTTCCGCTGTTTAAAGTGTCACGTTATGGACCCTTTGGGGGGGCACTATTTTTCCGAACAGAGTAATCTGGGGGTTTCTGGCGGGCCGGGCACCACCCTACCGGGGGAAGGGCATCCCCCAAAGGGCGAAAAAGGGCATCGCCACCCACTCCACAAGGGCCCCGAAGGGGCAGCAGAAACCCCAATGCCTAAAAATCCTCGAGGGCCCCGAGAGGCTCGCCAGAATTCAAGAAGTCGGGAAGCCCGCCAAAAACTCGGCAAAAAGGCTACGAGGGATCATCAAACGATGGGGGGCAGAGAACCCGGGCCCAAAACCCCCAGATCTCTCGGGCAGCTAAAACCAAAAGTCAATGCCCAGGTTTTCCGAAACCCTAAAAGGGGCCTCAACCAGGCGTCAAGGTCAAAAACCTCCTGCACCCCAACCTCAACGAAGAAACAGAAACAAGAGGAACAGGAGGCGTCAAAGGGGGGCATGGGGTCAGTGCGACGGGCA